TTATTAATAATTAATTAATTATCTAAGTATATAGAGGGATTAGGGGGTTTGCAATCAAATGAAAGCCAGGAGGGGAGAGTGAGGCATGGGACCAATATACATGACTGCAGGGCAGTCTGGGCAATAATGTGGCTCCCCACCTCAATCGAAGCCAGCCCCCAGCACCTTTAATGAGTCCTGTAGTGCTCAATCTAAAAATTATATTATTTTAGGTCAAAATTGTGTGTGTGATTGTTTAGAAGTGAGTGCTGTACATTAAAAGAAGTGATCTGTTCTTAATGAAGTCTTACACTTTCTCTGTCTCCCAGGGTTCTCATGCAGTTGTAAACCCCAGTACACTGGGGGGCACTGTGAGATGGAGATAACAGCATGTGTTCCCAACCCGTGTCATAACGGCGGTGTGTGTAAGCCCATTGGCAATGCATTTCTTTGCAGCTGCAGGAGAGGCTTCAGGGGCCTGACGTAAGTCTGAGTGAAAACACACAAACCTGGCATGCACCATTATGAACAGCTGAGTCACAGCAATGTCTCTGCATTCAGATCCTAGTGTAGCAGAGGTCGATTGCTGCTCACTGAACAGTCACATTAACAAAAAAATTCCAAAGTTTGGATCTATATTCTAATGAAAAAAATAATGGTTGTTTACAAATGATCAAATCCAACAGTTATCAGACAAACATAAAACATTTAGTGCAGTATCTTTCATTTGGTTATTAAGTGTAACTCTGCTCACAGCCTAGAGATTAGGGTGACCACAGATTAGAAAGTGGTCACCTGGTGTCTACAATTTAGGGCAATTTTGTTTTTGGAAAATTTCATATTTTGTTTATAATTTTTTAAAATATATATTTTTAAACATTTTACATATTATTTTACATATTTTATTAATAATTTAGTCTATTTATATTTAATTTTGTATTTTGGAAAGTTTTCAATCCTTAAACCTTTTCAAACAAATAATGGAATAATATTTTGTAATGTTTGTGAAGGCTCATGTTTGAAATGTTTGAAATAAAAATGAACTGAACTGAACTGAACTGAACTGAAAAGCAGTCCCTCAGATCAAATAAGTTTTCTTTACTATAAAATACATCACGTCTCCTTTATAGATTAGATTAGCACTGTCATGTCACATAATTTGTTGTTCAAATACTATATCTTTGAGAACTGATGAGTCTGTAGTTTTGAAAGCAAAATGTTTTTGCTGCATAAATGTTTCCCTTTTCATATATTTTAATTATAGGTGAAATGACTCTTTTTTTCTTTCTCTTTTTAACACATTCTTCTCTCTGATTTTATTAGAAGATAAATGACACTATAATATGTTGATGGTTACAAACATCAGAGAAAGGGATTAATGTGAGGCTGCATATGGATACATACTTGTGCAGTTTTTTCTTTATTGACAGGCTTTTCACACTGGTCTCTTCCATTCTATTTCCATCCTTTTATCCTGCAGTTGTGAGGAAGATGTGAACGAATGTGACCGCAGGAATCCAGAGGGGGAGTGTGAGAATGGTGGCACCTGCATCAACACTCACGGCTCCTTCTACTGTAACTGCACGGCAGGCTTTGTGGGTCAGCGCTGTGGCCTGAGGCCTGTTGTTGTCCCCGACATGCAGGCTGGTCATGCTGTGGTTGGTAGGGAGGAGCTTATTGGCATTGCTGTCGTACTTTTTGTCATCATCACCCTCATCATCCTCTTCATTGCATTCCGCAAGAAGGTCTTCCAGAAAAACTACTCGCGGAACAATCTATCTCTGGTGCAGGACCCAGCCACTGCAGCACTCCTTAACAAGGCCAATGGTGTTCAGTTTAAGACCTTACACTGCACCTCAGGAGACCCTCTCAACCTGTACTCAGAGCCAGGTATGGAGTCTGCCATGTTGGGAGGGGGTGGGATGATGGGACCTCCACAGGTCCCTGTGAGACCCATGGCATACACGCCCTGTTTCCAAGGAGACCCACGTTCCACGCTAGAGAAGATGGCAGATGGACGCAGTGTGGAACATACAGAGATGAGTACCTTTCACCCTGAGTCACCAAGGATCCTTTCAGGAACCACTAGGAGAGGGGTGGTGGTGTGCAGCGTGGCCCCCAACCTTCCACCAGTGTCACCATGTCGCTCAGACTGTGACTCCATATGCAAGAGCCCATGGGATAATGATGAGTGTGAGTCAATTTTATACAATTTGTCTCCTAGTTAGAATAAGTCACTCTTGGTTTACTGAGGCATTGCAGTGTTTACTCTGCAGGTTTATTCATGAATTATAGAAGCTTTGTACTAACATTAAATTGTATTTTGCTGCTCAGTCAACAATCCCAGATGTATGTTTTTTTTTAATGCAGGCTGTAGGACAGGTACACTATCAGTTACAACTGGAGCCACTGAAGGCACTACCTAAATATGATGTCTTAATAAATGTTTTTGCATAACATACACAGAGTTGTGCTTGCTTTACTTCTTCCCTTACCCCCTGACTTTTTCCTACAGGTAAGGTAGACGACATGGCAGAAGAAGTAACATGTTTCTCAGGAAGCAACAAAGGCAGTAACTCAGAGGTCCAGTCACTGAGCTCCTTTCAGTCTGATTCTTGTGATGACAATGGTAAGACACACCCATTAGAAAAGTGCTTCATGATTCTTTGAATACTCTAGTTTGCTTTTGTTTAACTTTTGGTTGCGACAGGAGTTGCTTTCTTCTTTTTATTAATTTTGCTCACCATTATCCATGCAAAACCAGCCCATCACATTTGGGTTTCACCTGTGGGACAAAATGCTTTTGAAATATTTTTGAATATTCTTATACAAAACAAATAAAACCAATAATAATCCGATAAAAATACCGAAAGACACTGTCAGCGTGGGTAGCAGTGGATAGAGAGGGCAATGATGGGTATATGTCAGAGTACAAGACAGGAGATGAGAGGAGAATGAAAAGAAATGGATAATATTTTGTCACTGAAACTTAAACCGTCATCTGCATTGTCCCATAAAATGAAAATGTAATATGTCTTTTTTTATATGGCTGTTCATTGTTTCTTTCAAACAAGAATGTTTCCAAGTATACAGAATTTTAAATGGGAGGCGACATCGTATGGTGACCCGCTGCTGAGTGTAGGAAATCGTGGGATAGATATTCCAAGATATAAAAAGTGGTGAGACAGATCATTCACAGACAAGCTAAGGAGTTTTGGTGGCTTTCCAAACTTTTATTGGTAGTTGTGGCTTTTGTGAAGGAGTTGTGTATTTTGCTTTTGTGTTGTTGTTTTTTTGTTTGTTTTTTTACAGACAGATTCCTCTGAGTAAATTTTTAATTTTACTTCACAGAATGGTAATTCTTCAGAAATGCTAGTTACATTGTTTAAAATCATCAGTTAATTAACTGGAATTTTTTTCCCCAGTTGTACAAATTATTTTGCCATTTTCTTTCCTGTGCTTGCCAAAGACAGGTGTTAACACACCTGCTCTTTATCTGGCAAAACTGGCAAGAAGCAGAAGAATGTTAGTTTTATAATGTCTTGTTCCCACATGACTTTCTTTGCTTTTATAAATTTTCTTTGTCTGGCAGTGTGTCTTTTTCTTCCCAACATTAAAACAGCAGGTAATCAGGTGAGGTAGTCCTCTGCAGAGATCAGAGAAAGTAGTGGGCAGCCATAATTAATTACTCGGTCATGAGGACACACTTGACCGACAACACGATGAGCATTTTCAAATCTGAATGCCTATATTTCAGATATATGTTATATATCTGCTCCTTTTCTCTCTCTGCAAGCCTCCATAGTGACCGTCATTCGACTGGTAAATGATGCAGTCGACACAATCGAAAGTGAAGGTACCATGTCTTATCAACTTTGTGTTTCTCCTCTCACTCTCCCATTCTTTGCTAATTTCAATCTTGCAAGTGACGTATTTCACTAAAAGACGTGTCTAAGCTATAAGCTATAAGTTGAATGTCCTCTTGCTATGTGGAGCATACTTTATCTTTCATTAACAGACACTCCTACCTACTGTAATTAGATCAGTTTATTGAGTTTATTGTGACTTATTAAGCCAAAGGTTGTCAGGGTTTCATTCCAACTGGTCAGCAGTAGATGACTGCACTAATGGGATCCTAGTCCCTACTGCACTATTTTATAGCAAGTTAATCAGGATAGAATTAAATTCCTGCATATAGCTGCCCTTAAATGGCACAGTGCTGGCCATTAACTTTTGTGTCTTGTTGTTTTCTGCATCTGACAGTGTCAGATATGGACCAAGGTCAAACCTTCAATAGAGGTGACTTCCAGCCCACCGACCCCCCACCTTTCTTTTACCACACCCTGTCTCTTCATCTTTTCATTTATCTACCTGCAGCAAGTAGACAAAATAAAATGTTCTCAATAAAATCAGCTTAAATAGCATTGTATCAAAACTGGCATGGTATGGGTCATATTAGAATACATGCAATTTACCAGCATATCAGCAAATATATGAACGATATAAGTCTTGCATTAACACAAATCTTGTGGGAGTGGTCAGTTTTGACATTGCCACAGGCAGGAGCGGCCAGCTAAAAGTAGACAGTGGGTCCTAAGATTGTTGGCAAGATGGAGAATGATGTTGATAATAAAATTAAGACTGGATATTTTGAAACTAACAAAAAGAGTGGATAATCAGATATGTGGAAGAGTTTTAAAATTGCTTAAAAGAAAAACAGGCACAAATCTAGCACTTCCTGTGCCAGAGACAAAACAGCAGTATTCTAGTACACATTGAATCAAGCAAGAGACACAGCAAGTCTAAGTAAGAATGATGTGGCGGTTTGTAGTTTGTGGCTCAACTACAGGGGGGTGGTGGAGGAGTGGGTTTAGAATGTGGTGTCAGGGGAGGCTGACCAACGCAGCTGATCTCCATCGTCATGCTTCCCCTATTTGAGTAGGATGCTGGGACCACACGAGAAAGCTGTGTGGTGTGTGCTAAAGTAATAGCACCTGCTATTTGGAACCCAACTAACAGGTGTACATTGCAAGTACACCTTGCCATGCATTCTGGGATGCGGTAGGTCGCCATAGATGTGCAAAGTTCAGTATGGGCTACCTGTGAAGTGAAGATAAATGTTTCCAATAGTGTGAAATACAGCACCTTCTTTGTGTACTTTGATTGTTCCTGCCCTCAGATACATCTGGCTGCCTAAATGTTTGCACATGATTTGTATTATTGCAGTATTGTGATATTTGCACACTTGTTTCATAGATTGGGTTTTTAACTAATTTGTGGCTTCAGTTTATATCTGTATTTGTGATTCAAAACTGAGATATTTATATTTATTTATTCTGTTCTTGTTCTACTAAAATAAGTTCAGTGGTATATCAATAAATTAATTGGTGTGGGGGGGAGTTCAGGATAAAAGCAGCTGGAGTAGGCAGTAATGGTCAGAAATTTAACTGGAGTGATATTTAAAACAAATGAAATACTTCAGTGCAGGTTTTTTGATATATGGGTGGGAATTTAACACGTTAATTGCGATTAATTAATTGAAAAAAATAACATGTTAAAAAAATAATGCATTTAATCGCACTTTGCATTCCAAGCAAAGGGGGGCTTTTGTCAATTTCCTGGTATACCGATTACACTGATGCACACATCAGAGCTACAAAAATGGAAGAATCAGAATAAAGTGCGTTGGTAGGACTGGTCAGAGGCACATTTCTTTTCAAAAGACTACCCGAGGGAAGCCTTGATAAAAGCATGTTTTTGTGCAAACTGTGCAAAAAGGAGTTTGCATACCACTGAAGCACTTACAGTGAGCGCAGAAACTGTCAGAGCTGTTAGCGCTAGCAGTCCCAGTTCGAGTACCAACAAAAGGTGTCGCAGCCCAAACTTGATGAAATGACTGGCTTCAGGACCAAAATTAGTAAGTCAACATCGGACAAACTTACAAATTCTCTTGCAAAATGGATTGCTCTGGACTGTTCCTGGCCCAGTGCATCATTGCCTACCTGATGTTTTTGTTCCAAGGTCGTTGGACTCCTCTTGTTTGTTTTCGTCAGGCACGATGCTCATGCACCTCATTGCGTCCATGGGCTCCACTCACAGCCAGTGTTCAGTTGTGTTGTGATGAAGGATAAACCAGGAGTGAGAATCGAGAGCTCTTGTGTCGTCTTTGTTTGCCTCCACAGTCTCATTGGGCGAACCAGCTAGACACAGGGCCCATGGCAATATTACTCTGTTTGTGCTGGTGGACCAGATCCTTGGGGTGGACCAATTTTTCTCTCACTGAAATGCTATGTCAAGATGAACAGAATCAATTTTGGGGGGATTGTCTTAGCTGGATGATTTAGCATGCATCAATTACATTTTGGATTGATTCTATTTCGTGCATTTTGGAAAATGAAGTTTCACAAGCTATTAATGCTCTTATTTTTATTTATCTATTTACTGCGTAACAACAGAGATATTGATGATTGGATTTGTCATAAAACTGCTTTGTGGCAGGCAGAGCAGGGCCCAAATGCAGGACTGAACATAAAATTAGCTTTATTGCTTTATTTCTTTGTGTGACAATAACTAGAACTAATATGGTCAGAGTGATATAAAGATGAAGCAAGATTAATTTCTTAGCTTGCTAACTAATTAAGCCTGTAATGGCTGTGACTGGCTGTTCTGTGTTTTACCCTCCAAAAGTTGGACGTACTATAGTGACATCGCCCGTTGGTTTCTGAAGTTCAGTTTGAACCCTGTAAAGTGTTTCCACCATTGCCCTTGTTGTGGAAATTTTAACAATAACCTGCAACACACCCAGTGAGCTTGATTTGAAGCAGGTTTAATAAACACATTGCAATGTGGAGAGAGCATCCCAGTGAAACACTAGGATCATCTTTGAATTGTGGCCACCGCCCTTACATCTTATATACAGACACAGACAAAGAACGCAAACTCTTATATGTTGGCCCCTCTCATGGGGGGGCTATACCTTCTCCCTCACAGAGAGAATTATGAGCTTGTTTTCTGCTTGGCCATCGCCTAAGGATTTACATCCCTGATAAGGAGAAGGAGTCCCACTATCTGTTTAACGTCTCCCATTACAATGGCCTCACTGTGTTAACATTCCACATGCATGCAAACTGGTGACAGGAGTGCTCTTACTATAGTAAAGTGAGAAAGTGATATTACTAAACTAATGTGATATGATTAAATATGTGATTAATACATGAGAAAAGAAATCTGCCTCCACACCGTCTTGGTAAGAACGGATGAGTCTGACTGTAAAACTGGTTGCTCACTGGCTAAGACGCTATCACTGCAAGGTTGTTAGCCAATGAGTGAGAAAGGATGTACATGGATAGTCATCTTGTTTGAATCATGGCATGACCAAGATTTACAAAATAGATTTAAGTTTTTGTTTTTGAATTTATGCAGAATGAATTTTTTTGTGTGAGTGGTCATTGAACACATTCTCCTCTGAATTAGTAATATTTACTTAAGACTGTCTATTGGCAGTACTCTGCGATACTCCAACTTTTTTTCTCAATCAATACCTAGTAAGGTTTCTCTGTTGGTAAAGTACCAACTGAGTTTGAATACTTTTAACTTATAAAGGCAGCAAATGTGGGGGAGAGCAGTGTGTCTGATGAATCACCATGAATTTAAAAATTCTGAACACATTTTAATGACCACTAAATCCTTGGAATTTTTATTTTCCACAACAACTGATGAATGCAGCAAAACCCACCTTTCAGCCTTTTGTCTATATTAAGACTAGTTTTTTTGGAAACCTAGTTTTAATAAGTATGTAAATGTGCCTGTCTCAAAAGCATTTGGGTTAGCCTCTGTTGTTTAAATATGCTGTAGGCTATAAATAAAATACATCAACAGTCAACACAAAAAGGTTCAGACATTTTTCATAGTGCATATTTGATTTGTATATATTTCATTTACAACAAATATTTTTTTACACAATTAAGTGAGCTACATACTCATACAGGATACACCTTTGCAGTGTTCTCTCTCCTCTGTCTTCCAGATACATTTTATTATTTCTAAAAGGTGCACTGAGATTGCTTTCCAGGTCACAGGAGGAGTATGGAAGACAGAAGAGATGAGAATGCACAAAAACAACAGTAGTGAGAAAAAACGGTTTCCTTTTGTTTTTATCTGACTGTCAGTTTGCATATTCCTTTTGTTGTTTCACCTTTTTGAATTCTGGAATTCTTTTAATTTTTGGATCAGCCAATAAAACATTTTTTATCGTTCACTTTGCCTGCCTCAGCACTTCTCCATTTGGGAATAACAAGAATAACACTTCTCTCCAGTGTTATGCTTGACTGCCCTTTTCGAAACAGTTTCCAGTGACAACTTTATATACCATCAGCACATTTGTGGAGGAACATTGACATAAAAGAAGCTTCCCCAACAGTTGTTTTTATGGTGTATCTATCAGGTGTATAGTCAGGGACAGACCTCATAAATGGTCTGCATTAAAATTAAAACCGAAATCAGAAACAAATGGTTCTTACTGAAATTATTTTGTCTACCTGCTGTATCTTTGTACCCCTATAGCCATATATTTGTCAGTGGTAAATTCCTCATCTCCTTCTCTGGTCAAAGCTTTGTATAGATAAGTTATTCCACAGCTTGTCTTGTGCTGCGCTGGTGGTGACCACAGTGGTGGCCACTCTACTTTCCACCCTACTGTACCAGTTCTTGTGTTATTAAGTTTTCCCATTAAGTTTTGTTTGTATTCTGTTTTTATGCATGGAAATCTTTTTTTGTGTTTCACTGGCATTTTTAAACTCACTTATTTTAAATGAAATCTGGATTCAGTTTTTAGAGTCATTAGTCAATTATTCTTTCAGTAAGCCAAACTTAAGTGATAAGAATGACTATTTATGCTATGCCAGAGGACTACTGATACCATGGGAAAGCGTATTCAAAACGATGTATTGAAGTGAGACAGGAAGTTTGTCTTAATCCAAAGAAATTCCATTCCATTAAAACAATTAACCAGTCTAGGTAAGTATATGTCTTGCTGTGATTTCAGGTATGAAAGCTGACCTTAAGATCAAACAATCCACTGGACATACATAGTAAATGGAAGTGTATGCCATGGAAATTGTGACAGTGGTTGGACAAGCAAATATTTAGTCCTTAGTCCGTAAAGTAATTTAAATTTGCTTTTATTTTAAGAGCCAGATCACACAAAGCCTACATTATAGAAAAACCCAGTAATCCCCAGTGGACAAGACAGCTATTTGACCAGTTCTGACCTTTCTGACCTTCTGACCTTGCCACTGACTGACAGGAAAGCAAAGAACAAGCACAGAGAAAGAATAGAAACAACATAATAATAAGCATGTGGTAGATTGGTGGGGCAAGTAAATGCTTATTAGAAACGTGCAGTTTAAGAGCTGGAATAGGGCTTAATACTTTCGGGAAGAGAGAGCACCAGGTTAATGACATACTGTAGTGGCAAATAATCTTTTTTTAGTAATTTATTCTACAAATCTGCCCCATAAATCTCAAATGTTGATATTTTGATCTGTACTCACTTTTTCCATATTAAATTCGGGGCAGCAATGGTCTCCCCTTGTGCAAAGCTGTGGCTTAGAAATTAGAGCTACTTGTCTACTAACTAATAGTTTGATTCAGCTCAATCTTCAGCTCCTCCATGTAAACGTTTCCTTGGGCAAGATACCGAACCCCAATTCCATCCATCAGAATGTGTGTATGTTTGTGTTTGTCCAAATGTGTCCTGAAAATCCCCCAAACTAAAACGATTTCCATGGAATATACTTTATATGGAATGGAATATATCATTATAGATGGATAGAGAGAGAGAAGGACATTTTTAAATAACTTCCTTGCAGATAATTTACAAGATATGTTATAATGCTCTAACTGAACTGAATGGATTTCTACAGTTTTGTTTTTGTTATTATTGTTTGTTTTGTCATTTAATTTATTTCTTTGGGGGAAGGACTGCATGGCTTGTGTGCTGCCAATTCTTCAAGAAGTTGAGCATGCTGTCACATTTGTAACACCAATCTGCAAAGTGCATGCCAGACCTAACAGGTTTTTTGTATAGACTATGTCTTGTCCTATTGCTGAATTTCAACACTTCCATGTAGTGTTGATGTTACCACGCCCATCTGGGGCTTACTGAAGGCATGTTTCCGTGCTCCAATTCCACATTGGAGTGTTTGCTCTTAAATAAATTTTTATCATTTTTACAGTTCAGATTATTGCTAACCATTTCCCATTCTACCGTCTAGCATATCACTGGGATACATCAGACTGGATGCCAAGCCCGAGGCTCTCAGACATTGAAGAGGTGCCAGGCTACGAGGCAAGTCATGGAAACGAAGTAGCAGGCTCGACCCCTTGCCTTAGCGAAAGTACTCGAGAACTGGAGTCAGATTACTATCTAGGGGGCTATGACATCGACAGTGACTATCTCCCTCCCCACGAAGAAGAGTTCCTTAATCAAGACCAACTGCCACCTCCACTGCCCACAGGTGAGGATTATACTGAGCCCTATGCACCATTTTCTACCAATACATCACTTTCCAAGGAGAGCACACTGAGCACAAGACATCAGCATGCCAGACCATATTTCCACCCTAGCCAGTACCTACCTCCCCATCAAATACCCACTGGGGAGGCGCCAAATGAAGTTTTTAGCTCTTCAGTGAGTGGGCGAACACCAGGAAATGGGGACACTGATGACTCTGTGTCCCGAAGTATCAGACTGTCCGTTGGTGCATCATCAGCCTCAGACATGTCAACCCCCTGTGGGCTGGATGACTCTGAACATGGCAGTGACTTTGACAGTATGGATGAGCTTCATCGAGGGGTGACCATCATCACGGACTCACAGCAACAGACTGAGGTGTGATTAGCTATACAGCACAAGAGTACCAACCAGTGGGAGCATAGCAGTTGTGCAGATAGAAGATGCAAAGGATTCTGTTATGACTGGGCAAGGTAAACGTCTTCAGCAGTACTAGGTACTGCTACAACTATATACATTAACAGTAATTTTTTAAAAAAAATCACCATTTCACCTCACTGAACTGTGACCAACAGAATAACAATATTAACTGGATTGTCAGTTCTAACCCCACTGTGTAGACCAGTTAGGAATGATTTTCCTACTGTAATAGGAATTTACTTGGAATATGGGAAAAAAAGAATGAAAGAAAGAATGGGATAGAGAATGTGAACATGAAAGAATGATTATGGACGTGGTAGACAGATTTAAAACAAACAAAAAAACTAAAGGGACAATGATTTAAGTGACACGTTTGTATGTTTTTTTGGTCCTTCGCAGAAGCCCATCGGACAATTTTTTTCTATTTAAAAAAATAAAATAAAATTTAAAAAATGTAAATTTTCCTCCATGCTTTGTAAACTTTGTAGTGTGCTGAACTGTACAGACTGTAAAGTATTTTGACCTCACTGGTGAAAAGTATGAAAACATACTTTAAAAGCCATTTTTGTTTCAATGTAAAATGTGCCCATCCACACCTCACCTGTATGCTCCCTGCTCCAAATCTTTAAGACAATTACATTTCAAACTTTCTCTTTCCTTAGCTTGAAAATTAAATTTTTCATGATTTTTTTTTTAAATTCTGTTGTGTGGATGCCAAAAGCTGCTGTAGTTGTTAATGTATGATAAAATCTATTATAATAAATTGTACTAAAAATTGATATTGAAATGTTATGCATACATAAGATAAAGAATTTATGTTCAATTTTTAAATAGAATGGGTATCCTGGGATTGATATTTAATTTTCACCCAGTATTGTTTTATTATAAGGATAACATGCTTACCACCTTTACTGACTATTGTGCTCTGTTCATAGTTATGGTCATCTTGTGTTTTATAATTTCATTAGTTTTATACACATTTGTATAACCTCTGCCTTCGGTTCCCTCAAGTACTTTCAGGTCCGTTCAATTTTGAGGTACTCATACGTTTAATTGAGAAATGGAGGAGAATATTTTCCTACATCTTTAGAACTGGTTTGGATCAAAGGTGCTGAGAAAAAAGATTCCACGCACCTCTGCTTTCTTTAATTTTGTGTGAAACACATTCTAAATTCTATCCTCATGCTAAGATGTACATTCAGATTAAATATAAAATAAAAAAAATGCAACCTGAGTAAACACAAAATATTAACTTTTGACTTTTAACCTCATCAAATATCTTAAAGAAATTAAATTTTTCACAACTTTTTTTCGTTTTTTTTTTTAAACTGTAAACACATCTTGATGATATCTTCTGGGGTTTTTGTTGTTGTTGTTGTTTGTTTAGGTTTTTTTGTACAACTATTTTGGGGCCGCAATGTTGATGGTATAGGCAAAAATTGGTCTTTGTTATGAAAATAGTTCTCACATCCATAATGTGTCCTACAAATCCTTTAATATTTTACCAGGATGCCCTCGTCTGTGGAGGATTAGTCGTCTTCTACATTTGAAGTGCAGCTACAGTCTAGTCTCTGAGTCTGTGTCTGGGCCATCCCAGAGCATTTTATAATGCTTCTCAGACAAATAAATTTTCTTACTCATCTCTTTTAGAATCCCAAGTCTGGTTCTGATGAAACCCTGTGTTTCTGAAAGTGGTCTGTGTAGGTGATTGAACATAGGTGGCAGTAATTGGTTAAGAATGTGTCTACTTCTACAGCATCCAATCAATGCAAATACAAAAAAGCAATCAGTGTTTTGTAGTCATAACTGAAGGCTAAATACTGCTTCACATAGGGTCAATTGGTAGGTTTTACATTACATAATTGCTTCCGCACATACAAATGTCAGTCCATTTTACTTGTCTTACGCAGGTTTTCTTGCTAGAATTTTTTTCAAGATGTAGCACAACAAAACCAAGCAACCGAAACAGAACCAAGAAGGGAGTCAAGACTATCATGCAACACTAGTTTGAATCATTCACTATAAAGGTAGGTCACATTAGTTGAATGCTTACTTTTCTACTCAAACTGAGGGCTTTATACAGCATTACTCATTCACCCATTCATACAAGCATCTTCTTTCTATGCTTTTTCTACTTTTTCTGTCTAACATTCACATGTATTCATGCTCTGATGGATGCATTCAAGAGCAAACTGGGGTTATTAAAATAAAAATGGAGTGGTGAACCTTCCAACACGTTGCCAGCCTACCAATATCGGTCCAAGTTTTCTCCATTTGTTGATAATGAATCTCACTGTTATTCGCTTTGTAACCCTTTACAGACTGATGCCAATGCCTTTGTTTTTCATCTTTTCTAGAGCTTCTTTCTGGCATGATGTTTTGCTTCATGATACCATTTATCATACTTCACTTTATCAGACACATTCTATTTAAGTGACTTCTTGATTCAAGAGGTCTGGCAGTGGGGTGGCTGTAGCTCAGGTGGTAGAGCAGGTCATCTACTGGTCGGAAGATTGGTGGTTTGATTCCTGGCTTCCCCTAGTCTGCATGCCAAATATCCTTGGGCAAGATACTAACCCCAAATTGCTCTCCGATACATCCATCGGAGTATGAATGTGTGTCAATGTTAGCTATAAAGCACTTAGAAGAATGGGTGAATGCACAAGTTGTGTAAAGCGCTTTGAGTGCTCAGATGAGTAGAAAAGCGTTATATAAGAACCAGTCCATTTACCATTTAATCGGGCTTTGCCGTGGCTAGTGAAACTGAACTCTTTCCAATTCATATGGTTTGTCAAAGTTAATAAATGGTTCAAAAAGGAGTAATTACTTTTTCACACAGGGCTGTGCCAGTTTGGATATTGTTTTCTCTCAAAGTCATCATTTAAAAATTACATTTTGTATTTACTCAGGTTATCTTTGTCTAAATGTAAAATTTAGTAGCTGGGATTGACTCCAGCCCCACTGGAACCCTGATACGGAAGAGCACGGATGGATGGACGGATGGATGGATGGATGGATGGATGGATGGAAGGATCTTAAACATGTAAATGTGACAAATATGCAAAAAAAAAAAGGGAAAAAATACTTTTTCACAGCACTTTTTGAGCACACCTATTCTCCTATTTCGCTGTTCAGAGATTCAACAGGATTCCTCAAAGTTCAACAGGTGCCTGTCTCTGCAAGAACCATTCAGCTCAGCAGTCTCACAGACCCACTTGAAAATGGTCACCATTGTCCCATTTAAAGTGTATATGGCATCCCATGTAAAGTTTCACACAAGATTCCCTAAGCTCCCTAAGCTTCCCTGAGTTGTTTTGCACTGAATGGAACTGGAGCCTCGTCATCTCGTCTCTCTATATACTGAACTGTATATAGCAGAGATGACAATAAAGTTTACTTTGACCATCTTTTTCTCTTATTTAACAAACACTGGTCAATCTGCGATCCTTCTGACGATATATGTCAAATTTAACCCATAAATTCAATGTAGAATGATTTGCAAAGTATATATAATAAAACAAAGTATGAATGTATGTTTAAAAGTGGCTTATTCACTAATGCCTTAGTAAGGCTAAAAAAGTGCCATATAAATGCCAGTCTATTAGTAGTACTTCCAACATTCTTGAAAAATAATGGCAGATTATTATATAGTAAAAATTAGTCTTGCATTTGCCTGTATAATAGTTTTGAAATAGTTTCTAAATGCAGTGCCATATGCTGAAGTTTTACTATAATAAAAGACATAACCTGTCTAGTTAAAACCTTTAAAAAAATTGAGCCGAACAATGCAACTGGCATTATACTGTGAGTCTGAATTCTATGCCCACCTTCATCTGTTTTTTTCTTCATTCTGTTTAATTTTTTTTGAGAGTACCTATATACCAGCTTCAGGGAGTAGACATGTTTTAAGGCATTGCAAGTGTTATTTTGTAGCACCTTCACCATATCTAAAGAGACAAGTTAGATCCTTATCCAAGTTTACTATATCCTCAAAAATATTTGGCTGCTTCATTTCACCAGTGTACTGTACTATTGTGTGTCTGATCCTGTAAACCAGGCAGCTCCTTTCCTTTGTAAAAGATGCAAATGTGTTTTGAAATTTGTACAGTGTACAGAGCTAGACGAAATTCTGCCTAGATGAACTGCTTGTGTTTTTTCATGTGCTATTTGGATGGATGTGGAGAGTTTAAAATTTCAGTTAACTCCATTCCACATCTGCCACTGATTGCGTGGTCAGTGCTAGTTTTACTCTTTAACCACTACTTTTAAGGTCCACATGAATGCAAAATCAAATTTAATAGGTTTTGGACAGTATTCTGTTTATTCCATTCTAACATATGTTCTTGCTTTTGATAAAAGATGTTTATGGTAATGCGCTTTTTGTACATTTTAATTAAATTCTGATATTGTTTTCAGGTTGTCTGGTGGTGGTAGTGGGGTGGGGGTTCCCCCCAAAACTTTAGGCAGTTAAAAATCTGCCACCAATCTACAGAAATTATGTACAATAAGTAAAAGAAGTGTATTTTTAAAGAGTCTTTTTAAAACTCAGTTCAGAAAATACAATATTATTTTGCACCATTTCAACTGTCCTCAATGCTAAAATAAATCCTTACAACACTGTTTACACTTTATCATGTTAAGTACACACAACTAGCATATGCTACTACTTCATAAAGTATCATTCATGTCCTGCTGTTATCCAGAAAGCTTAATGGTAGCCTAAATAATGATACAATGATATTCAATAGTATATTTAATAATAATAATAATCCTTATAATTATCATAATTATATATTATAATTATGATAATTATAAGTATGAACTTCAGGAGAATGACAAAATTCATGGTAAAATTATTGAGAATGGCATGAAATTATGTACCTCAATCTCACAAATAGTTAATTGGGCCCATGCCAAGACCAATTTTTGTTACGTGCTAGGACCAGTTCTTTTTATGTTATACATGCTTCCCCTAGGCAGTAAGTTTAGAAGGGATAGGATACATTTTCACTGCTAGGCAGATGATACCCAACTTTATCTATCCACGAAGCCAGATAGAACACACCAATTAGTTGAACTGCAGGAATGTCTTAAAGACAAAAAGACCTGGATGACCTTTAATTTTCTGCTTCTAAATTGAGATAAAAGTGAGGTTACTATGCTCAGCCCTAGAATCTTATAAATATGGTGTTTAACCAAATGCTTATTCTGATTTAGTAGTCTGTCATCTGTAGTCTGTTTTTATCATAACTATATAATTCATCAACACCATCTGAAGTAAACACATACACTACCGGTCAAAGGTTTTAGAACACCTGATTTTTTTCAAGTTATTTATTGCAGTGGTGAACTGCCAGAGGTTAAAAAAAGAAGAAGAAAGGTAAGGTTACTCAAAACTTTTAAATAATGTACATTTCAAGATTTTTCCAAGAAGGCCTTCTTAAGGGAACACAAAATGGGTTAACAATTTAAAGCTGTTCTGGAGCAATGGGGGTTGATCACGCCTTGAAAGCTGGTGCTACTAATTCCTACAGGTGTTTCAACTTTTGTGTATTACCTACAACCCCCTTTGTCTGCATCAAAGCAGTGTTGGAACACACTGTGGTACCATATCCTTCATGAGCATCAGTTGAACAGTATTGTACTGAAGAAAGTAGAAAATGGGGGGGAAAAAAGCAATTAACAATGGAAGAGAGACAGACCATCATAACACACAAAATGTAGGTCTTTCCTACAGAGAAATTGCAAAGAAAGGTGTAAGTGAGTAGAGTTTCCTTCACTATCAAAAGGGCCTCAGAAACTGGGGCAAACTGAGAAACTTGTCCTGTGATTCAATTGTGGCTTTGGGTCTGCCAGAGTCTGTCTGTCAGAGTTAACAGCTTGTATGATGGGCTCCCCACATGACAACAGCATCAAGCACAGCTTAACAACGGTTGCAGTTTCAAGTTTGAAGAGAAGACTTTAAGCTGCAGGTTTGACAGGATGAGTTGCAGCAAGAAAGCCACTGCAAAGTCATCAGAATAAGACAAAGAGGCTTGCCTGGGCCATGAAGACTGGAAGAAGGTGTTATGGACTGCTGAATCAAAATTTGAAATCTTTGGTTCATTACACAGGGTCTTTGTACGCTGTTGAATAGGCGAAAGGATGTTTCCACTAGTGATGGGTCGTTCGCGAACGAAATGGCTCTTAGAGG